GGAGGGGCCGGCAGCGCGTCTACGCGGCCTGGCGGGGAGCGCGTCTACGCGGCCTGCGGAGGGGCAGGCCCGGCGCCCGTCCCCGACCCGGGTGATTCAGGCGGCGCCTCCCTCCCCATGGCCCGGCCTGCTCCTCCTCCTCCTCCTCTCCTTATTCCCTGCGCCGCCGCGGCCCGGCCTCCTCTTGCCGTCCCTGGCCTCGTTCCGCCGCTCCTGCCCGCCGCCCTGCCCAACCATCCCCACCTCCTGCCTTCTCACCTCCGGGCGGTGGCCCTGCCGCCGCGGAGGGGACCAGTTGGGGTGTTTATTAATCCCCCTCCTAGCAACGGCCGCCCCGCCAGCCCGGCCCACACTGGCGCAGGTTGTGGAGAGCGTGGTCGGTGCCCTGGGCCTGGTCCGGTGGCCTGGCCGGGCTCAGCCCCAGGGCCTCCCTCCGCCTTGGACGAGGCTGCGGCCTCCTCTGGGCGCGTCCCCTGCCCGCTGGCCGGGTGACTGCAGATTGGAGAGGGAGGCCTGGCCAGGGGCTCCGCGGAGCTTGCCGCTCCCCAGCATGGTTAGGGGTACCCGGGAGGTAGGGCCGTGGTGGCGCTGGGGTCTCTGGGACGTGGGGGCTGCTGGGGCATCGATGCCACCCCTCTAGACACCACCGCCCCCCTCTCCAAGGCTGGCACTGGTAGAAGAACGGGGCCGCGGTGAGGGCTCCTTCGATGGGCCTCCTCCTGGTGCGGGTTTCCCTATATCTCCACAGTGTGTCAGGTGTGCCGGGTGTGTAGGGGATACTCAGTCACGTGGTATCGTAGAGGGGCGGAGCCTGGCATTGATCTGCCCTCTGCCCACTGCAGGGGAGCTGAGGACTGAGGGTGGACATTACAGGACAAGGCCTGCCCCAAGGGCAGAGTGGCTGGGGTGACCCCGTGTGTAGAACCCTGTGTGGCTGTCCCCCCAGCGATGTCCCTCCTACCCAGCTCTGTCCAGGACCTAGAGTCCTTCCTGACCCTCTGACCCAGGTATCCGAGTCCAGGCCATCAGGAGTTGTGACCCTGCCCTCCCTCCTGGTCTGCTCACCTGGCCTGGCCACTTTCCCCTCTCCCCTGCTCACTCCAGTTGTCTTCTATGCTTCCAGTGAGACCCTCTGCAGGGACCTGGGAGCCCCAGGCCAGCTCATGGACATGGGACCCATGTGCCAGCTCAGCCCCTGCCCAAACCCCCGCTCAGGCTAGAATCGTCAGGTTTCTGAACAGGCCCTACACTCTCCCTTTGTGCTGGCTCCACAGTGATGGCGGTCCTGGCTCCAACAGCCTTCCTTTTGCCCAGGACCCTTGGGGGCACGTGAGACTTGGTCCCTCGGCTGTGCTGCTTCGCACAGGCTGGTTTCTCCTGGTGAAGTGCCATGCCTGCCTGCTGGGCTGAGACCCGCCACCCTCCTCAGCACAGCCCCCCGACAGCCTGCCTCCCTCATGGGGCAGAGGGACCCCCATGGTGCAGGGCCTCTCTGTCCGGGTCATAGCCACCTCAGCTCAGACCACTCCAGCACACAGTGTTACAGTGTGTGTCTGCCTGTGTGAGTGCTCTGGTGTGTGACACGCCTGTGTGTGCACACAGCGCACAGAGGGCCTCAGGCCGCCAGGGCCTGGTCTCAGTGTAACTTTGGTCCTCGCTGTCACTCAGGCCTACTGTAGCCCTTTTGCTGCTGTGGAGCTCCCTGCCTGTCCTATCACACTAGCTATCAGACCCCTTCTTTGCTGGTGCCCCCCTTTCGAAGACCTCATGGGCTGCCCAATGCTTGAAGCGCCAACACTCCCACTCGTGGCCAGTGGTGGGCACAGCAATGGCTCAGAGCCGCCTCTCCACCTCTGCCCCTGCAGTCCTTCACTCCAGGACCCGTGTCTGGGCTTGGTCCAGGTGTCTGCTGGGGGAAGTAGGCCTTCTGGGTCAGGGTTTGTGTCCCAGTGGAGCCACTCCTGGTGGACCATGTGGACACATGGGTCTGCACACAGGCAGTGTGGCCAGTGTCCCATGAACCTTGAGCCTGGCACCTAAAGAGAGAAGGGACTAAGTGTGTGGGACCTAGAAGACAGCCGTGGGGTAGAGGGTCCACAGAGGCGAATGGTGGGGAGGGCGGGTCATGCAGGACAGACCTGGCACTGGGACCTGCGCTTTGCTCAGGGAAGGATGGGCATCCTGGTATACAGACATAGGTACCCTGCAGCCCCAGAGCATAGGAGCCAGCGTTTCCAGAAGAGGCTGGTCAGAGCCTCTGAGGGCAGACCTGTGCTGGGCCTTGAGTGGTTCAGGGGTGGTCCAGCCTGGGGAGCCCCACTCTGATGACTGCCTCCCTCCAGGGCCAGACGGGCCTCACCAGCGCCAACATGAGTGTCACCTCCTGGTTCCTGGTGAGCAGCAGCGGTACCCGCCACCGGCTCCCGCGTGAGCTCATCTTTGTGGGGCGCGATGAGTGTGAGCTCATGCTGCAGGTGAGTGGCTCCTGGGGCTGGGAAATGGGTGGGGCTCAGAGCTAGGAAGGTGCCCCCACCTGCTGTAGACCCCAGGCCCGGGCATCTCTACCTGGGCCCTGGGCCTATGAATGGGCCCAGGGTCTCTGTGACATGTGTAGAGGTGTGCCTGTGCTCTGGACAAGCCTGGGCTCAGTCAGACCTTGGCCTCCCTATGCAGCCCCAGCTGTCCATGAAGACCCTGGGGTCCAGGAGGCTCACACAAGGCAGCCCTGCTTAGGCTGGGGTGGCCATGGCGAACTCATCCCAGCAGCAAGTGTGAGGCCACCTCTGCTCAGGGCACCTCTGTTGTGTTGATATTCTGTCTGCCTCAGTGTGATCCTAGTGTTTGTGTCCCCTTAAAGTCATGTAAGTACTTGAACTTAGTCCCCCGGGGGTAGTGTGAGAGGTGAGACCCTTGGGGGTGATTAGGGGATGAGAGTCCTCATACATGGGATTGGGACCTTAGGAACAAGGCTTGAGGGAGCTTGTCCATCCCAGCTAAAGGCTCCATCTGAAGCAGAGACAGGGTCTCTGCCTCGGGCACCTTGGTGTTGCCTTCCAGCCTGGTACTGTGAGTAGCACTTGGCTTGCACATTTTCTAGTCAAAGAGGTTTGATCATAGCAGCTGATGGGCCAGGCCCCACCACCCTTGCTTTTCCCCTGAAGTCTCTCAATGTGCCTGGACCCAGACTCAGCTGCTCTGCCCACTCGGGGTGCTCAGACTCTGGCTTCTCTGCCTTTATCCTCTTCTCTGTACCCCTGGAAAGCACAGAGACAAGTCAGTGGCCTGTGCAGAAGTCGCAGGTATGTTCTGTGAAAGGTTTTTCTGGCCCTGTGGTTCCCATGGCTGCTTGTGGCCTTGCCCGTCTAGTATGAGGATGCCACAGATAATGTGCCAGAGCAGCGAGGTATGCACAGTCATGCTTACTTAGGGCTGTTGAGTGTGCTTTCCTGTGACTTTTACAGGACATGGAGTAGTCTCTTGACTTTTAATTATTTAAGAGCATAAAGACGGTATGCACAGGCTGTGCCCCCAGCCTTGTAGAGAGGCTGTGGCTAGATCTGCCTGATTGCTCCTAGGGTGTGGCCTGATGTGCATGGTGCTGGTGATGGGCACACTGGGCTCCTAGGGTCACCAGGAAGGCCTCCTCGAGGAGGTAGCACTTTTAGGGCCTGTCATGGTTCCTTTTCTCATTGCTGAGGTAAATACCCAACAATCACAAATTAAAGTTGACTGGAAAATGTGCAAGCACAATCACCTGTGCTTCTGCCCAAGTTTAACTCACAGTTTGTAGAGGTTTCAGTCCACAGTTGGCTGAGTCTAAGGCAGGGCAGCATGGCAGAGGGGATCACAGAGGAGAAACAGTCCTTGGCAGGGCACGCAGGAAGCAATGAGCAGCAGCAGCAGCAGCAACAGCAACAAGCTGGCCTTTCTGTCCCTTTACATTCCAACCAGGCTGCAAGCCTGTTGATTGGTGCCACTCATGCCCTGCGTGGGGCTTCCATTGTCCACAACCTCAATCCCAGTGTCACACCCTTAATCCACATTCACACGTCCAATCCATAGGTGGAAACTCCCCACCTATGATCACATGAGACCTGGGGGACATCTAGATACAAGGAGCTGAGGTGAGCCTGGAGTGCTGGAGCTCCTCCCGCCCTGCACCTGGCTCTGTGCCCCACTGCTGCTTTTCCTGGGCACTGGGGGAGAGGTGATCTGGGGGTCCCAGTGCCCACATGGGTCTGGGGCACAGTCCTAGTCTCTGGGCCAGTTGGTCATGCATCCCTGAGCAGGGCAGGCGCAGTGGAAGTTTCTAGGCCTCTGTGCCAGGCATCTCCTTCCCTGGGTGCACCTGTGCTTCTGCCCAAGGTGGTGGCATGGCTGCGTAAAAGGTGTCTCCATCTTACACAGGGAAACTGAGGCTGGGGAGCTCATGCATGGATAGAGCACAGGAAGGCACAGGAAGGCTGTACACACCCACCACCACCACTGTCACCAGTCTACCTCCCACCCCACGCCCTCAGCCCCAGCCTTCTTCACCCATCTCCCCATTGGGTCCCTCTGTGGGGAAGTCCTCACTGCCACATCACACGTGGCCCAGGTCCCTGCCCCTGCCCCTCCTCACCCCTGGCTGGTGCCAGCCTCCCTTGGTGCCACTCTCTGAGCCCTCAAGACGTTTGCATGTGTTGCCCCCTTCCTGGGACCTCTACTCCAGGTCCCTCCAGCCTCGGCTTCTGTTCTGTGTCCAGATGAAGTACTGTCCTGTGCCCATCCTGCCTCAGCTTTGATCTTGGCTGCACAGCTGCTCTGGGCCTCTCAAAGGTGGCTGAGCCTCGGGGTCACCCTCTGTCCCCCCCACTGTGTCCCTGCCCAGGCCCCACCACCACCCCATCCTGGCCTCACCCCACACCTTGGCTCCCTGAGTGGTGCTTCCCACCCCCAGCCTCACAGAGGGTGGCCCGGCCTGTCCCCGTGTCCTGGCCCTCAGCTGTCTAGGTCTAAGTCTGCCTTCCCACCCTGGACTCCTCCCCACCACACCCCAGGCACTCGCTCTGCTCACCCGAGGTGCCTGGCCTACCTTGGGCCTCCTTCTGGGCACCTGTCTGTTGTCATCCACACCTGTCTACTCACCCTGCTCCTGCTCTGTGCCAGCAGGCACTCCTGCGGCCTCCAACCCCTGCCTTCTCCTGCATGGGGTAGATGCAAAGAAGGCAGCACTGTGAGTGGGCCTGGGGCTCAGGGGCACCAGACAGCTCTGTGAGAGGGGAACAGGGCCTGGCAGGAAGGGACAGCTATGGGAGGAGGTAGCCCTGTGGCTGGGAGGCGGGGGCAGCCGTGTCCACGCCCCCTTCCCACCCACCTCACACAGCAAGCCTCTAATTTGCTTGTGGTAGCATCCAATCCCAGGGCAGGCCTGGCATGAGCTGGAGCCTGTGAGGACGTGCTGTATGATGCGGGCATGTGCACACATGTGTGTGTGGGTCTGTGTACTATGGGTGTGTGTCTGCATCGACCTGTGTGTAAACACCTGGGCCTGCTCCCCCAGCTGTCCCTCTACTGTGGCCAGGACCTTGTCCCCAAACACGTCCTTGCTGGGTCCCTACTGGATCACAGGAGTGCTGGGACTCAGCCGCTTCCGCCGAAGCCTGTGTCCCACCCACTGTGGCCTGTGGCTGTACATGGGCACATGTGACAGCCGGGATCCTGACACAGGAGCCACAGCCCAGAGTGGCTGTAGGGCCCTGCGCACACGGCAGCCCAGCAGTCTGGCAGCCTGCTGCAGTGCCTGTGGCCTCCCTTATGGCAGCACTGGGGATGAGCTGGCAGGAGGCTGTGCGGGGGGCCCTGGCTAGTGGCCCTGGCAGGCTCAGCACAGCAGGACAGGGCTCTCCTCCACAGAGGGCGTCAGACTCAGCATGAAGCACATCTTTTTTCTTTCTGAAGTGGGTCCAAATCTGCTTCCCTCTGTCCACGTGTTTGGAGCGTCTGCCCCGCTCACACTGCTGGGATGCTCCTTTCTGCAAGCCCTCGTGAGCCCTGGGCCAGGGACCCCCTTCTGGGTGGGCTGGCATCCAGCGTTGAGCATGTGGGCTTGGCCAGGTGGGGCTGTGCTTCTGCCCTGAGGTGTCTGGGCGGGGAGGGAGGTGCTGGAAGGGTGCCTGAGATGCCAGCACTCTTAGCTGTCATTGGTTAGTGCTTGATGGCTTCCAGAGTTGGCTGGTTCTGCTGCTGCCCCCGGTCCCAGGTCTATGACCCAGCAGGGTCCTGATAGGAGTGTGTCTGGGGCAAGGCCCTCGCTGCCGTGGACGGCGGGCCCTGGGATGAGCAGGCATCGCAGCCCAGGTGTACGTGGGCTAGTGGGGACTCTTTGGTCGGGGACTCCGAAGCAGAAGCCGTGTGGAGCACCTGCTGGTAGAGGGAAAATGGGCACAGAAAGGGTGGTAGTCCTGGCAAAGGGCATCATATGGGCTGAGACCCAGGACAGGAGTAGGTGTGCTGCTTCTAGAGCCCCGGGGTGGTGTGGACAGATCCCAGTGTGGCCTAGGCTGGAGAGGGGTGTCTGGAGAGACCCCCGGCACTTTCAGACCATTCCTCCTGGACCGGGAGACCCCAGGAAATATCAGCAGGAGTCTGATGGCAGCAGAACGATGGGGGTGTGTCCAGACTGGAAAGGTCACTTGGAAGCCTCGTGAGGGCTCATTCCTCAGCAAGGGTGATGCCTAAGCCACCCATCCCTGTCCACCTCAGGCCAGCAGCTCCTGGGACCACCTGGGAACCTTTGGGTGGGAGCAGGAGGCTCTGGTGACCCCATTGCACATCACCCCAGGCTCTCAGTCCCCAGAGAGGTTTGATGACCAGGTCCAGCCCTCAGGCTGGCTTTCTCTGAGGCAGCAGGGCTAAGGTAGGGTGCCAGCCTGTGTGCCGTCCCCAGCCTCATCCAGGATCCCGAGTCAGGTCTGCAGTGACCTGGGGCAGGGGCACCTCCCAACCCCCAGACTCACTGGAAGGCTGCTGATATCCCTCTGCATTTGGTCCTGGGGGAAGCCCAGCTTCTTTGCTGTCTCTAGGGCTCCCCTGGTGCCCCAGTGGGACTGGAGGGGAGCCTTAGCCAAGTGTGCCCAAACCCAACCCCTGTGTGTGCCCTAGATGCCAGGGGAGTGGGGGAGTCGGAGCCACAAGAAGAGCTGTGCAGGGCTGGGAGCCATTGGGGAGGACCAGCTGCAGGCGACTCAGGTCTGTGCCACCCTTCATGGGTTGGGTAGTCCTGAGCCAGGGGGGCGTGAGCAGTCATCAGCCCCACCGGAGGCCCACCTGGTGTCCTGTGGGGGCACTGCCTGTTGGTCCTTGGGCTAAGTGCTTGACAGCTTTCTGAGTTGGCTGGCTCCACTGGCCCCTCCTGGCCTGGGCCCCAGGCCTGTGGCTCCCAGGTGGAGGGTTAGGGACAGGTGCCAGGTGATAGGTGGCATGGAGTGGAGGCGGGCAGTGGAGCTCTGTGCTGAGACCACAGGCCTAGTGGACTGGGTGACATGGGCCTCTGCTGCAGCCCCTGAGCAAGAGAATGTGACCCTGTCCCTGCCTCCATCTGGGTGAGAAGTAGGGTGCTGCAGCTAGACAGCTGAGGCAGCTGTGTGAAGGAGCTGGGGTGACTGTCCTAGGGAGGGTCCTGGATAAGCTGATGGCCAGGGAAGGTGAGCCCCACTCAGGGTGGAGGACCTGTGTGCGTGCTGAAGTTGTGTGTGCGCGTGCGCACGCGTGTGTGTGCAGGCATGGGCAGGTAAGGTCAGGTGCTCGGACCTTACCAGGGCATGGGGCTGCAGGAGCCATCAGGAGCAGGAGCCACCAGGAGCCCCAGCATGTTTACTCGCCCTTGACCCTGAGGCTGTGTGCCCCACCCCCTGATCTCCCCTGCTGGAGCCCGAGCAGGCCACCCCCGCCTGTCCTTGGGAAGGACCAGCTGTCTCGATAAACAGTGGATTCCCAACCTCCCACTGTCCACCCAGACGGGACACTGGAACAGGACGAGGATAGGGAGAGAGGTCACCACAGACACAGGGGAAGTGGCCTTGGTGTCTTGCCTGGTCTCTGTGGCCTGTGTCATGGCTGGGCGGCTTTATCAGGCACATACTCTGTGTGTAGGAGGGGTGGGGGTCAGTGGCCCGGGGCCAGTGTTGGGTGGTGTGATGGGCTGTGGGCAGCACAGGTGCCTCTGTCTCCTGGACTTGCCTCCCCAGGATGAGGCACCTGAGTACCCCCTGTGTGTCTCTGTAGTCCCGCAGCGTGGACAAGCAGCATGCTGTCATCAACTATGACCAGGACCGTGACGAGCACTGGGTGAAGGATCTGGGCAGTCTCAATGGGGTGAGTGTTATCGTTCTGCCCTGGCCCTGCCCCTGGGCCCCTGACCCACTCCAGGCCTACTCTGCAGGGGCTGGGTTTTGAGGGTAGAGGTAGCCCCCTGGAAAGGGCCCCACTGGCCAAGACTTGCTCTCCCAGGGTGCAGCTGGCCCCTGGAGTGGGGACTCAGGCTGGGCAGACAGAAGCTGGGAAATGGCCTCCCTGAGGTGCAAGGAGCTGTACCCAGTGCCCTGATTGGGTATAGGGGGCTGTGTGGCCTGTTTTGTGAGTCATGGCTGTAGGGGCTGGGAGGGATCCAGTGTGGGGTGAGGGGTGGAGGACTGCTGCAGCACACATGTCTGTCTGTCCTGGAGGAGCCTGTCTGTGCATCTCTCTGGGGGGTGCACAAGCGTGCCGGGACGCTGCTCAATGAGAAAGCAAACCGTCAGGTTTTGTTGGTTCACTGCCCATGCAGTCCTGAGCCAGGGGTCCCTCTGGAGACTCAGGGACCCCGCCTCTGCTGCATGAGCCTCCAGTAAGTCCTGGGCACCGCTTTCAGTGCCCCTCGAGGTGCTCCCACCCAGGTGGCCTCAGGCCCCCCTCCCTCACCCACCATCAGCTGCAGCAGCCCTACTTGCCCAGGCTGCCTGGCAGGCAGGCCTCCCCTCTGCTGCCCACGGTGCCTTCAGTGGGTCCCTAGGTTGCTGGCCCTGGGCTACTGCCTGGACCGTGCAGGGCCAGCACCTGAGACATCTGCAGTGGCCACATGGAGCCGTGGCCTACCTGTGGGACTGCCAGCTCTGCTGTGGACACAGGTTGCAGGGAGGGTCTGCAGAGTTCGGGTGGTGTCCCGCGCTGTCCTGCCTCTCAGCTGTGTGGTCACCTGTTCCTCCACAGACTTTTGTAAACGATGTGCGAATCCCAGACCAGAAGTACATCACACTAAAGCTCAACGATGTCATCCGCTTTGGCTATGATATCCTTTCCCCCGGCGCTCAGGGCCAGTTGCCCTGTAATCCTGGAAGAGGGTGGGGGTCTCGGAGGTAAGGGTGGGGCCCCTCAGGTTCAGGTTAGCACACACAGTGTAAGCCTATGGCTGGCCTCCGCCAGGGGCTGCAGCACCCTTGCTGCCACCTACCTGCTGAGCCCCAGGTCACAGGAACCTGAGGAAACTCAGGACCCCATAATGGCTTGACCTTGAGGCTGCTGGGTGGAATACCAGTCGATGACCAGTGCGGGACCCCCACCACCTGCACAGGACTTGCACGGCTGCCTGTAGACGCTGGGTACAGATCCTCAGCTCTGTCTGTTCTCTGTTCTCCTGAACGGTACCACATTCCAACATGTATGTGCTGGAGCGGGTGCAGCACCGTGTGCCTGAGGAGGCACTCAAGGTGGGTGCTGGGGAAAGGATGTGCATCTTGGGGAGTGCTGGGGGAGAATGGGGCAGGCCCAAAAGTAGCCTTCATGCCCCCACCGCAGAGCCCACCTGCTCTAGGTCCTACCCAGGAATCTCCATCTGCACCTGGAAGCTCTGCTCCCTCAGCAGATACCCCCAGCTCCTGAAGCACCCTGTCCTGGCTGCCGGTGCTGGTACATGTCCTGCCCTGCCAGCTGGCCCAGTGTGGGGAAGGAGTCATTGCCCTCCGGGCTCCTGCTGGGACAGATGATGGGGGCAGTGGGATGTAGGCCAAATGCCTGGCCTGCTGGAGATGAGGGGCTTCCGGGCCTGGCCCTGTGCCCAGGGTACGGGGTCTGTGGTACATCAGGCAAGCTGGTATCAGGGACGCCTGCAGGAGGCAGAAACCCCAGTGGGGACAGACACAGTATGCCACTGAGCCGGGCGTGGTGGAGCACATCTGTACTCCCAGAACTCGGGAGGCTGAGGCAGGAGGATCGTTGAGAGTTCGAGACCAGCCTGGGCTGCAGAGTAAGCTCAAGGCCAGCTTGAACTGCATAGCAAAACCCTGTTTCAAAAATACAAAAAAAGAGAGTACGCCATTGGGGTGAGGAGGTTGAGGAGTTGGGCCCTAGGACCTCTGGTCTGCTGGCCTCTTGGGTGCAGGGAGCACCCTGAGGTGCGAAAGTGCCTTCCAGCACAGTACCTTCGCATGTGCCAGGGCTCCATGTGGGCAGATGCTCCAGCCAGGCTGCAAGGTCCCAAGGTAGCCATAGTGGGCTGTGGCAGCCTCTCTCTGTGTCTGTGTGGGGCTGCCCAGCGCAGGTGCACGGGACCCTGCTCAGAGCCCTAGAGGCGTGTCTGGCGGGTGTCTGAGACCCACTTTCTAGTGAACATGATCAGCACAAGGCTGCACAGCCAGGAAAACAGGGCTGACGTGAACACACTGTAAACATGCACTCTAGGCTCCCAGATGCACACGCAGGGACAGACACATACGCATGCACACACGTATGCACACACGTAGGCAGGACTCTGCCCCCCACCCTGGGCCCTCCCTGGGACCTGTTCCAGATGGAGCCTGTGGTGCTAGTCCCCAAGCCCCCCAACTTGCTCAGTGGCCCCACCCAGGCAAGCCCAGCACTGCCCTGGGAGCCTTGTGGCCCAAGGAGCCCTGCTTGGATGTGGGGAACTCGGGGCTTCCTGTATTTTCTGGGCTGTGAGGAGACCTGGTGGGCACGAGGAGAGGCGAGGTCCACCTGGCTGGTGGCCCCAAGATGACCCTGTCCTGCTCTCACCCACAGCATGAGAAGTACACTAGCCAGCTGCAGGTGGGGGTGAAGAGCCCAGCACCCAGGAGGAGCGAGGCACCACCCGAACTCACAGCCTACTGTGAGTCTACGCACCCCAGGCCAGAGAAGGGGGACCGGAGACCTGGAACAGGTAGGCTAGGTGTGGGGACGGGAGAGAGAAGTGGAGGTAAATGCACAGGGCCACGTTTAGCCCTGCCGGTCCCCATGTTCCCTGCACCACTGTGCCCCTCCCTGTATCCCCTCTACTCCACCGTTCTCCACGCCACCCAGATGTGCTCCCCCACGACCCCTCACCTCAGCTCCTGCTCCTCCTGGGCCCATGACCCCACATGTGGGCCCACACACACTTCCCAGCCTGCAGTGCTGCTGCAGCTGGTAGCCACCAGCTGACCGGAGGCGGCCGGGGCAGGGGTACCAAGGTGCCCACAGACACAGAGCTGGGTAGGTCGGGAGCCGCCACAGTGAAACCTGGGTGCCTGGGTGCAGTGGAGAACGTGGTGGGCAGCAAGGGGGCTGCTGCCTGGGCCCAAGTGAGCCAGGGGTTCAGGCCGGAAGGGTGGGGTCCTGGGCTCCCCACTCCACCCTTTCCAGGAAAGGCCACTGCTGCCCAGCGCAGCCTCTGCTGTATTCCTGTGGCAGCCTTGTGGGGCTGCTGGCTGCCAAGCTCTGGCTGGGACCCTTGGCCCAGAGTGGCAAAGCTTCCGTCTTCTGGAACTCGACCCAGCCAGGGACTGGGAAGGGCTACCAGAGGTCACGCGAGCTGCAAGAATACTGGGCAGTGTCCCGGCCCTGGCATACGCGGCTGGTGGCGGTGGCTTAGAGTGCCCTAGGGTTATAGCAGGTGCACCAGCAGGGCAGCCCTACCTTGGCCCCAGCAGCTGACGCAGCATGCAACAAGTGGGAGAGGAGCTCGGGCCACAGCTTGGGGGGCACGCCCACGGTGCACCCCCTGCCTCAGCAGCTGGAGTGCAGCACGAGGTCAGGAAATTGACACCTTCAGAGAAGTCGTCCACCTGGGAGCATGGCGTGCCCGGCCACAGGGCTACTTGCTGCCCAGCACGTAGGCAGTTAAGAGCCACCGCTCCTGTGGCTCGGTTGGCTGCATGGCTCTAGCAGGGCTGAAAGAGCTGGAGGAGCTGGGAAGGCTTTGGGCATCAGGCTGGTGCCCTGATGTGAGCCATGGGATACCACTCCTGCCCAAGTCAGAGCTGGAAAACCAGGTTTCGTGGGAAGTATAATCTTCACTTCTGGCCAGTATTCAAACACTAAAGAAATACTCAAAATGTCACGTGGGTCACTCTGACCAGGAGGCCCTCAGCCCCCAGGGCCACCCATTTGTGGGCTGGACCATTTCTAGAGCCCTAGAGAAGGGCTGGGTGGGCAGTGGGCTCTGCCACTCCCGTCCCCGTCAGGTCGGCTCTGGGGTGGGAGGGTCAAGCACAGGGCCCCAGGGCTCACCTGCCCCAGGAAGTGCTTCCAGGGCTGTGCCCTCCAGGACAAGCCTCCCTTTGTGGGCTCTATAGAGACCCGGGTAGGAGTAGGCAGGTGAGAGGCAGAAACAGGCTCAGTGTGGTTGGCTAGCGGCCAGCATCCATGGCATCCATGGCAACTGCAGGTCTGGGCTGGGGAGGGACCCCAGGGCTGAGCTCTGCCTTCCTGCAGATTCAGTGGTATACCGCACACCCCTGTATGGGCAGCCATCCTGGTGGGGAGAGGATGACAGTGGCACACCGCCTGAGGACCGGCGCCAGGAGGAGCCCTACCCAGGTGGGTCTTGGCACCCAGCCAAGCAGTCCCTGAGCCCAGGAGTATGAGGGAGGGAGGCGACTGGGCCTGGAGTACCTGCACCAGGGCAGACAAAGTGGGAGGTGGGCATGGCCATGCTGAGGCCTGGTCTGTACACACCCCCCAGAGCGTGCCAAGGAGTCAGTGCAGCAGGATGGCGAGCTGGACGGCCCGCCAGCTGGCTTTTGCCCCCCTGTTGAACCTCATGGCTACTCCTTCCGGCGGGAGCCCAGCTATTTTGAAATCCCCACAAAGGAGGCCCCGCCACCACCATCATGGCCACCAGAGGTGCCGGAGCATGAGGCGCCCACCAAGGACAAGGAGGAGGTGAGTGGTGGTGGGACAGTGCCTGTGGTGCAGAGCCATGCCTCCTTCACCATCGAGTTTGACGACTGCAGCCCTGGCAAGGTGAAGATCAAGGACCACATCACCAAGTTTGCCCTGCGCCAGCGGCGGCCCCCTGGCAAGGACGCCACACCTGTGGAGATGGTCTCCGCCGAGACCAAGGTGGCCGACTGGCTGGTGCAGAACGACCCGAGCTTGCTGCGCCGGGCTGGCCCAGGTGACGACCGCCACAGCACCAAGAGCGACTTGCCTGTCCACACCCGCACCCTGAGAGGTCAGTACTCCCTGGCACTGCGCCGTCCAGGGCAGGCAGGCAGCCACCAGTGAAGCTCCAGGCACCTGGTGGATTCTGCTTTGCAATTCACTGCCTATGCTGCCTGTGCACAGCAGCTTGGTTCTGTCTAGTGTCTGTCACGAATCTCAGCCACAGGGGCCAGGTCCTGCAGTGCGGGTGCCAGGTCCCCTTACCCTTGTGAGGCCCCAGGCCAATTGCAGTTCCCCGACAAGTTGGGTCCCTCTAGGTCACAAGCATGAAGATGGCACACAGAGTGACTCAGAGGACCCCCTGGCCAAGGTGGCCTCAGCAGCTGGGGCCCCTGTGGAAGCCAGCGGCGAGCAGGTGCGGCTGCAGAGGCAGATCAAGCGGGACCCCCAGGAGCTGCTGCACAACCAGCAGGCCTTTGTCATCCAGTTCTTTGATGAGGACACCCCCCGCAAGAAGCGCTCACAGTCCTTCACGCATGCCCCCCCTGGGGACCCCAAGGCTGACAAGCGTCGGGGCCCAGTGCCCACTGATCGGGAACGCCCAGGTGCCCCTGCACGGGGGGCAGCAGGCAGCAGCTCGGGGTCACAGAGGGCCGGCTCACTGAAACGTGAGAAGACAGAGGAGCGGCTGGCCAGCACCTCACCGGCCGCCCGGGCCCCTGCCCGTCCCTTCGGCAGTGTGGGGCGCCGCTCCCGCCTGGCCCAGGACTTCGTGGCCCAGTGCATGCGGGACAGCTCCCCAGCCTCCAGGCCCAGCTCTGAGAAGGTGCCTCTTGTGCCACCCGCACCCCTGACATCCTGTGGGGCCAACTCTGTGGCCTCCCCGACTGCACCACCACCTGCTGAACCCCAGCTGCTCAAGGCGCACAGACAGGATGAGGATGACAGCCTCAGTGACGCAGGCACTTACACCATTGAGACGGACGCGCAGGACAGGGAAGTGGAGGAAGCCCGCAAGATGATCGACCAGGTGAGCTGAGGTGTGGGGTGGGAGGGAGCTCAGCTGGTGGGCATGTTGGGGCCGGGGGCTGGTCTTCTGCGACTCAGCCGATTCCTGAGTCTGTTCCAGCTAGGCAAGTGGGTGCCGCTGGCGCTGCCATGTAGAGTGGCAGCGCCCACCAGCCCCGCTTCTCACCTTGCTAGGTAGCCTGTTCCCTGCCCCACTGTAGCTGGACAGGTTGTGTGTCCTTCGTGTTGGAGTGGGACTGGGAGCCAGGCACCTCTGACACTTGTGCTGTCTCCTCCCGGTAGGTCTTTGGGGTACTTGAGTCCCCTGAACTCTCCAGGGTGTCCTCAGCCACCTTCCGCCCTGTGATCAGAGGGGACAGCGATGGAGGCGTGGCCCAGAGAATGGCCTTGCTGCAGGAGTTTGCCTCCCGGCCACTGGGTGTGGGCCCCTCAGTGGAGCACCAGGTATGAGCCCCTGTGGCCACTCTGAGAGGGGCAGTAGGAACAAAGCAGTGTCCAGGCTGGGACTCGGGGATGGTGGCCCTGATGGGGCTAGGCTAGATCTTCCCCCAAGGGTTGCCTCACTTGACAAAGCTAGCTGGGCACTGGTGTTAGTGGCCACCTGGTCATCCCTGGCCTCCGTCCTGGCTGGTACTACCCCTGCTGAGGATACTCTGGTCTTCTCTACAGGGCCTTGTGGTTCCAGGCTGCCCTGGAGGTCAGAAGTGGGTGTCCCGCTGGGCCAGCCTTGCCGACAGCTATTCAGACTCCAGCCTGGCAGGTACGTGACCTGGGGTGCTAGAGGGGCTGGGCCAGGCCAGCCTGGCAGCCTCAGGCTACTGACCATAGACACAGCTTGCACATTGCTATGCCTGGTGGAGGGTCAGGGCTGTGTGCATAGGTGGACCTGTGGCCACTCTGACTGGATGTCCTTGCACCTTGCAGAGGACAGCCTGAGACACAGAGCAGGAGACCCTGAGGGGGCCCTGCCTGTGCGTGCCAGACGACTGCTTCCCCAGCTGCCGAGTGACAGAGCTGACAGCCCTGCTGGCCCAGAGGCCACGAGGAGGAATGGGCCCGGGCCACCAGAACCGGGCATCGAGCAGTCCAGCCACCTGGTCAGCCAGGAAGACCTGGACCCCGACAGCCTCAGTGACGCCAGTGGGTCCGACGGGGGCCAGGGCCCTGAGCTGGGCACGGAGCAGCAGGAAGATAGGCGCAGGAGCCCCCAGGAGGGCCTGGCCTGGGCCAAGGGGCGGCGCTCACCAAGGGCCCCTGGGGAGCCTGCCCCCGTCTCTTTCTACATTGGTGACCAGAATGAGACTGCTGGCTCCCGGAAACCCACAGCAGCTCCTGGGGAGGCAGAGGGTCCCGAGCGCGTGGGCCAGGCCAGACCCTCAGCAAGGGACGGCCTCTACCTGAGCAGCAGTGGGCGGATGGTCGTCCAGCTGCACCCTGGGTGTGCCCCTGAGCCCAGCAGCTCCGGCTCCACCCCACCGCGTGAGGCTCCAGGCTTTGTGCGGCAGGAGAGCTTCACCAAGGAGCCAGCAAGCAGCTCCCCAGCACCGGGCAGGCTCCCGCACATCTCCAGCCACCCGCTCCTGCAGGACCTGACCACGGTCCGGGCCACACGTGCGGATCTCCACACGCAGGATACCCAGCTGATCCTGAAGGAGACTGAGACGGCCCTGGCAGCCTTGGAGGCCCGGCTGCTCTCCAAGACCGTGGACAAAGAGGATGAGGGGGGCAGTACCCCCAGGCCGCCAGATGACTCCCTCTCTGGGGACTCAGACGTGGACACTGCCAGCACCGTCAGCCTGCTCAGCGGCAAGAACGGGCCCAGCCCAACGACCCCTCAGCCTCTAGGGCCACAGAAGGAGAGGCTAGTGTCTCCACCAGCGGCCCAGGACCCAGGTGATGCTGCCCTGAGCAGCGCGCGTGAGCGACTCTCAGAGAAACAGCACCGCTCGGCCAGTTCTGCTGACCTGGGCCGTGGAGAGCTGGCGCGGCACCTGGCTGCCCGGCGTGGCCATGGTCCCCGAGGGTCCCAGGACGGGCCTGAGGACCAAGGCGCCAATCTCACCCACCTGCCCAGTGCAGACACCATCACCCCCAACCACGAGACCCCAGAGGCCACTGGTGCAGGTCGGCCAGGGGCTCGCCGGAAACCAGTGGCAGCCCCACCTTCCCTGGCTGCCCGGGAGGAGCAGAGCCGTGGTTCCACCAGTGCCCAGAAGGTGCAGCAGGCACTGACCCGCTCCAACAGCCTGTCCACCCCGCGACCCACACGGGCCTCCCGACTCAGGCGGGCCCGGCTGGGGGACACCTCTGACACCGAGGTCACAGACAGTGACCGGGGAGCCCCAGCCAACCCTGAACCAGTGAGCCGGCCAGCTACTGAGCAGGCTAAGAAGCTGTCCCGCTTGGACATCCTGGCCATGCCCCGAAAGCGGGCTGGCTCCTTCACGGGGCCCAGTGACTCCGAGGCAGCCCCTGCCCGCACGGGCTTCTCAGGCCGCAGTGTTGAGCTGTACTGTGCCAACCGCAAGCCCACCATGGCTGATGCCCGCGCTGCTGCCAGGAAAGCTGCTGCCACTGCCACCACAGGCTCCCGCCAGCCCTTCAGCAGGGCGCGCCCGGGCAGCGCCAGATACTCCTCCAGTGAGTGTGGGGCAGGCAGGAGGGCTAGCAGGCGGGTGGGCAGGGCAACCCCCAAGGCCCGAATGGCTTCTTGCAGGTCAGCCTCAGAGCCCCAAAGGGCTCTGTTCCCAGAGCTGGGTGGACACATTGCAGACTTGCACAATCCCACGTGGGCAGGAGATGCTGAGCCTCCCGGGACAGAGGGCCCCCACCACGTCCCCCACAGGCAAGGGGCCTGGACTTTGGGCTGGCCCTGCCCCTCTGTACTTTAGGGTGGATCCAGCCCTGGGCCACCTGCCCTGGGCTCTGGAACTGTTCTTCCTGGTTCTGCCCTGTGGAAGGCACGGGGAAGCCTGTGCCTGTGTGGTGGGGGCTCTGACACACTCTGAGCCCACACAGCCTCGCCTCCTCCATGAGGTCCAGTGTGCAGGGCTGAGGGAGGAGCTGGCTGCCCCGTGGCCTGCCCCGTGCACCGCCACGGGCCACGCGTGCCCTGCCTGAGTGGATTGGTTGAGGCCCAGGTGCTGTTACCCTGCCCATACCACCCAGCCTGTCCACTGCCAGCACCATCCAAGACCCTCCCCACCTGCTGGGTCCCCTAGGCAGCTGGGATGGGGTGGGGAGGCCTTACGGCTGCGGGCTGAGGACCTCTGCTTGGCCGACCCCCTGTCCCTTCCCCACCCCACCCAGCATGCAGCCCCCTCCTTGTCCACGTCCCCTTTGCTGTTTGAAGCTGTTTGAGGGCTCAGATCAGACCCTGGAAGGAGCTCAGGACCCTGCCTGGGGGGCTGTCCCTGACGGGAGAGGCCTGATGAAGGCCATGAGGGCCCGGCCAGCCTTGCTTACCTGTGCCACCGGCTAGGCCATGGCTGATCCTCCAGGGAGGCTCACTGCATCTTCAGGGTCTGCCCGGGAACCTTCACTGGCACACCAGGTGTGGCCCCCCTCCCACCAGGGATGCTGTGCTGGCCCCGCATGGCCCCTGGGCTGGAGTGACTTTGTGGTCCCCGAGCTCGGTGGTTGCTGGTGCTTCTGCTGAAGGGCTTCTGGGTGTAGGGTGCCAGCCATGGCTTGGCCCGACCCGCAGTATAGGGCCCTCACCCAGAGGGTCCTGGGGTGCTGTGGGGTGCTGTGGGGTGCTGAGTGCTGCTTTGTTCTATTCTTGCTTCTGAAACCAATCCACTCCAAGACACGCGTCGTCGGCAGCAGGGCTCGGATTACACGTCCACCTCCGAGGAGGAGTACGGCTCCCACCACAGCTCCCCCAAACATGCACGCTCCCATACCTCAACAGCCACGCAGACCCCGCGGGCTGGCAGTGCAGGCCGGGCTCGTTCCCGAGCCCCTGGCCCTCGGGACACAGACGACGATGATGAGGAGCCTGACCCCTGCGGATTCATCGTGCAGACGGCTGAGATTGCAGAGATTGCCAGGTGAGTGGCGCCATTCTGGTCAACCACAGGGGGCTCCCCTCAGCTGAGAACAACCTGAGGATAGGGACTGGCCAGAGGGTCTACTTGCAGCTCTGAGTAGGCTGGCTGGCTGGATGAATGGATGGAAGAGCAGGTCCCTGGGTAGATGGGTGGGTGGGTGAATGGATGGGGCACTAGGTAGGTGGTTAGTTGGTAGGTGGACAGCTGAATGGGTGGGTGGGTGGATGGATGGGTCATTTGGTAGATGGCTTGGTAGGTGGATGTCTGAGTAGATGCATGAGTGGATGGGTGGGAGGCTGGCTGACTGGATGGATGGATGGGTGGGTCTGAGTAGATGCATGAGTGGATGGGTGGGTGGGTGG